TTTCAGTTCATAATCATCTGGCTCCAAGGCCGGGTGGGGTGTCAGAGGAGCATCACAATGGAGAAATAATTCATGGCAGGCAGAAGGCATCAAAAGTGGCAGGTGATAAGCAGCTACTCTTTCTCTGTCCCTCATATGTTATCCAGGCTACACACCCTTAGTATGGATAGCACTCACACCCAAGCTGGGGCAGCCTTAATTCTACCATCGCACCATGAATCAATCCCAGTATCACATCCTTGATCCTAGCATCACACAGTTTAGATCCAGCCGCCTCCAAATAGCCCCACCTAAGGTCACATCTAGTTACAGCCCTAACGGTACATCTATGTCGGGTTATATCAATGAGGAAAATTGTTATCTCTTTCTCTTTTCTAAGAATCTGGTTCATCTGTTAGTGTTAAAGGAAGTCTCACACAATGACTCTGTGCGTTAAGGACCATTCCTGCCTTCCTGGAACAGCGCAGACATTCTGTGGGTTATGCTCAGACAGCATAACCTTGCTGTGAGATGGTAAGACAAAATTTAGACATCTAAAGGCATCACATCACATCTTATTCAATGGCTTACATCGGCAGCTTCTTTCCTCCATCCTTGCTGCCTCTGTAACTGCTGTTAGACTCAACACTTCTTTTTTCTTGAAATGTCCCCACAACCAGCAGCAGCTCTGAAAATCCGTGCCCTGAAATCTCCCTCTCATTCCAAATCCACTGTGGGTTCATCTGTATGCCAAGGGAACTTTGTTTTCTTTTTCTTCCCTTCCCTCAATCCTTTTAATCCTGTAGTTCAAGCAATTAACTCTACAAATATTAGCTGCAATCAAGGTCTAGCACATGTGGTAATTTTCCCTCTAATAAATCAATCAATTCTTCCCATGGAGTGTTTTTCCCCCTCACAGTCATTAGAGAATTACAATGCTACTTGAGGATCACCAGCAACTTGAATTAGTCAAGGAACGTCAATCAAATTTGCCAGATTTTGCTTTAAAGATGAGAAAAATGGGAAAGATTACAAAGACCTCTTGTCTTAGGAAGCTTGATAGACCCTTCTTGAATCTCTGTTAGAGAGGCCTTGGAGTATAATGATCCATTTGGAGGAAAATCAAAATCAGTAGTACTAGTGACAAATCAGACAAAATATAGACCCTCTCATTAAATGATCTGAAAATTAATCACTGGAATAATCAACCGTGCAGTGTCTCTAGGCAATGCAATATTCTGTAGTAGTTAATAGGTTACTACACCAAAGAAAAGGGACAAATAATCTAGCAAATGGACAAATTTTAGTTCCATAACTTACAATTTTTACATGTATGTTTTCTCATGTATGTTTGCAGTACATAACATTTACTTTCATTTTGGGGTATTGGTATACACACATACACACACACACACAAACACATAAAAAATCTTGGTAATTTTTAAACTCTCTTCTCCCCTCCTCTCTCTCTCTCCTGTCCCTGCCCTCTTGCCCATTCTTTAGTTACAATTAAAGGATCCAAACTGTGCTTCCCAGAGCTTATTTTAGTGTCAGACACAGAGAGTAAGGATTATGGGGTCCAGTGACAGATTCGCTACCCATTCCAATATAGTAGCTCAGTTTTTGTTTCATTTCACCTAAGGACCTGTTGAAGCAGTGGTTTTTCTGCTTTGAAATGATTTGAGAATCACTTACGTGGCCCTGACTACTATTTTCATAAATATAGAAAATGAATGCCAGAAAAATAGAGCCATTTTTGATTGGGTGACAGACCCCAAACAGACCCTTTATCTCATTCCATACCTACCGTTCTTTAACAATAGGCAAGAATTCACCAGCCTTTGGTTTGATACCTGCTTTTTTATTTTTTAAGCTTTTAAACTTTTTTTTTTCTGCTTTTGTTTTCAAATGGTCATAAAGAAAAAAATTAGCATGAGAAGAGGCTAGAATGCTACACCAGAAACAAAAGTAAAGTCTGCATTGTGCTCCTTTCTCGTAGTCTTTTTAGTCCCTCTGGAAAACTGCACCATTCTTTAGTACCTGAGCGGAGTTATAAGGGAGAGGGGGAGGCCTAGTTCCATTTTCTTATGTCACCAAATGTATTCCTATTAAGATTGAAAGAAGTGAAGATTTCAGGAGGATACTTGGTGAAAACTTGCTGACATTAATGACTCAAATTCTCAGAGAGAGTGCAAGGAAAATGGTGTCATCACTGTCATTCAAGCCATTTAAGATGAAATTTCAAAAGAAGGTTGTCAGGCATATTGACTGCCAGGTTCCATTATATCATCCTCCGAAGGCGGATCACACACTACTATGCAGCCTGTGGGCGGCTGATGCTGAAGTTTGAAAGGAAGCTGCACAGAGGGGAGGCGAAGTGGGCGCGGGACCCAAGGGGAGCTGCCTCACATCACCAGGATCCATCACTGCTGGCATTCACATGGTAATTCCGGGGCAACGTTGTGATTCAACGTCTGGCTTTCTGTCTTGGACATGCTGAATCCTGACCCATGAAAACGTTTAGAAGAGGTCATGCTCTTGTTGCTGAAAATCTTCAGGAAAGTTTGAGCTATTAATGCTGGCACCCACTTATTAATGTGCTATGAGAATACTCCTTTCTGGTGACCCGGATATTTGTATTCAGTGCATCCCAGCAATGAAATACTTGTAAAGCTTAGAACAGGAATCAGCAGGCAGCTATGTGGGGAAGAGCAGCGACTTTCAACCTTCCCAAACATTGCAAGCATCAGGGCTGCTTCGATGCTAAGGCCAAAATCCAAAATCAAATATATCTGACTCCTGGGGATGAGGATGCAAATGTCAGTTTTTTTAGATCTTAAGTGTTTGTTAAATCTTAAGTGATTTCAATGAACAATCAAAGCTAAGAACCACTGGGGTAGAGCAAAGGGTGAGGCCTGGACAAGTTTCAAGTTGTTAGGTAAGGACATTAACAATTCAGCTACCATTATTTCATTGAAGAAAGGAAATTTTAACAATCATAGGACATAGAAAGACAAGAAAGGATATAACTCCAAGATGCAAGATTAACTCACTAAGTTATATTTATTTTTCTCAAGCTCTATAGGCGAGTGATCATTTCTCTACAGACTAATGCAAACCTAAGAACAGATGTGATCAAATTGCTTTCTATATCCATGCTCAAAGCTTTCCTCTTTGGACAGCTTCAGACACACTTGACTGAGTTTTGGTTAATTAAATTACTATCCTATGCTAACTATTCCTCTTTGCCGTAGCCTTTCTGTAGAGATATTAATACTATTAAATTGTAAGTAATTTTTCCTCCTTGGCTTTAGAAATAGGCTGTCTTTTCCAATTACCAAATGTGTTGCTTTAGTAAGTTTAACTCTTCTTGGACATCTTGAAGTAAGTTTTCTAAAGCGGGTAGAACACATATATCTCTAAATAAGGAAGTATTGGGGGTTACTGGTGCCATCTAATTTTGCTATGATGACCATTACTCTAAATGCAGGGGAAGAATCACTGGATTGCCAAATAATTTGAGTTGAGTTATTTTTATGTGCATCAAGTTACGGAGAAACTTTAAGTCTTGAAATAAAAAGACTTGTATTTTAAACTTATTTCTAGTGTCTCTTTGGGCTCTATTCGTCCATTTCTTCTGTGATCATGCTTTATGTTGCACTTCTCTTTCCCTGAAGGTACACTGGTGTTGGCATTCTTGGATCAGTCTACAACCAGTTGTCTATTCTTAAAACTCAGACATTAGCAACTACTAAGAGAGAGTAGCTGTGCGGTGAAGCTCACCCGTACTCCAAGACTACCTCAAACTTCCCTTCAACATTGTGTATGATAGAGACTCATCTGTGCTTGACAAAGGTGTGAAATAAATCTTCATTTACTCATTTCTTCTCAGCCAATATGCTTAGGGATAGACTGAGAGGATAGGACCTAGAATAAATATGTACTCTGGGCCAACTGGAAAGTTCTATTTGCACATATCTGTGTTCTGCAGAAACCCAAGAAGTATAACTGACATCAGCTACTCTGCCCAACTCAGTCCCAACCAAAATGCTTGCCACCTTTTCAAGGTTAGGGGCTTTGTGTAGAGAAGCACATAAACCTCAGATTTCCAAGAAGTTTATCTGAATCCCAGATGTTCTATCCTTTTCAGTGAGTTGCCTGATCTTTCAGGCCTCGTTTTCCTTATCTATAAAATGGGAATATAATATTGTTTGGACAAGTAAATGCCTATGTCTTGTACTCTGAGTAACTAAATTAAAGATAACAATATGCAATGTACTAACCATTGTTACTCTTCTATTATCTGGTTTTGAAATTTTGCTTTATCTTTTTTCTTTTTAAAATAAAATTTAAAAAATAAAATGAGAACATAATTATCATCTTGTGCATCACTTTATATAATTATAAGGATTAGATAAGATAATTCAAGTAAAACCCCTAGCAAGCAATCAGACATACTAAATACTAAAAATTAGCTTTGTAGGTCAGAGCTCAGTACAATAACATGCCGTTCAGGAGATGTTCAGTGAATAATCCCATGTACTTGGCACACACACACACACACACACACACACACACACACACACAGAGCAATCCTGTATCTATTTGTAGGGACAGGAATCTCATGGGACATGCAGAATAAAGAAGTTGTCACTGAATTCTGAGCTTCAGTTTTCAGGTCTTCACAATTTAAACAAACCCATTTTGTTACACAATCTTAATCACGACTTTGTCTTTTGTCTCCCTCAAAGCTAATCTTCCTTGTTCTTCTGTGGTGAATTTTTTTATGACTGCAATCCCTTTCCATTAGAATGCCCTTCCTTGTCTTTGCCTTGCTGCTTGATTCTGGTATTTGTTAGACCCAGAGCCACATTTCCTTTCTGTCATACTGAAGCAGTCAAATGCTTTAAAGGAAAGCATTTAGAAATCCATGTTTTCACCTGCATCTCCATAGTTTCAAATTCTGCCAAGCCAAGAAGAATTTGAATCATTTTCTCTATTGATACATCACTTCTGAGCCACAGGTCTAAGAGATGGAGGTAGGAGCACAAGCCCCTGTGCTTCACCGGGGTGATTCATTTCCATGCAAGACTCAGTGCAGTGCAATATTTTTATCCTGCTACAACTGAAAAATTTCAAACTCAGTTAATTACTATTTCACAACTTCTTTCTACTTCTGCCAAATCTCCTCTTTTTCTCCCACCAGAAACAAAAGCAAACTAAAAACACATCAAGAGATAAACTTCTAAAGCTGCTGAAAATTTACCGTAAGAGTCAAGCCTGCTTCTGAAAGTTTCAACTCACCCAATCAGACAACAGGCTGACAGAAAGGAGGCATTTATCAAGTTACACGGAGGACTCCATCTGTTATCCTAGACCTTTGTTACCAAGTGACTCAAGAGGACATACTCTAAGGTAGTTTGAAAGAGTTTCATTTTACAGATTCTTAGTTCAAAGATTTCAATTCAGAAAGAAGAAACAGCACGAGAGGAAAGAATCCAAGTATGAGTGATGGAGAAAACTTCATAGGCTGACATTCGACCCGGCAAGAGCGACCGTCCATGGTGAAGTTGCCTTTTCAGCCGGCACCCATCCCTTTGGTTTCTATAATAAACGCAGGCACAGAGGCAGCCTCTTCTCCATGCACACAAAAGTCTTTCTTCTGAACTGCACCCTCACCACAGCTGTTTCCCATCATGTCCAACCAACAGAAGAAAATCATTTTTTGCATGGCTGGGGTGTTAAGCTTTGTGTGCGCTCTAGGGGTTGTGACAGCTCTGGGGACACCCCTGTGGATTAAAGCCACCATCCTTTGCAAAACAGGAGCTCTGCTTGTCAATGCCTCAGGACAGGAGCTGGACAAGTTCATGGGCGAGATGCAGTATGGGCTTTTCCACGGAGAGGGCGTAAGGCAGTGTGGGTTGGGAGCCAGGCCCTTTCGGTTCTCATGTAAGTAACAATTGTGTTTGAATTATTGAATACTTTAGGAATGCTCACCCAACTGTTGTAAGGAATTATGTTAAGGGTCTACTTCTCTGTTGCAGGACTTTTAAGCTGGTGTGAACGATTTGAAATGCCTAAGACTCAGAGTAATTTCTTCTTTCTAGTTTTTGTTTTGTTTTTATTTTATCAATGTTTCATTCTTACTATTTTTATTATGATAACATGTAGTTCACTGGTTGTTATGCAATTGAACACTTTGAAAACATAAGCAATTAATCTTAAATATCAAAAAACAAACCTTGAAGATCTGTTCTTTATGAATATAGCGAAAATAAAGTGCTAAGTATTTTTTTAAAAAAAGAATGTTAAGTATCACTATTCATGTAGGAAATCATGGAGTCTTTTTTTTTCTTTTGAAAAAGGGAACTTGGAAAGTAGAAAAGCTGCAAGAAATGATCTTTATGCCTTTTGTTCTTTAATAAAGGACCGCTGTCACAGGGTCCTTAGATAATCCTGTTTTTCTTCCTTTCCCATCACCTGTGTGTTCTGTCCCACACCCCCTTTATTCCTGCCAGGACCTTTGGTGCTGATAACCTGCTTTCATTTTTAACCTATTTAAAATAACTTGACCATAGAAATTTTAAATGATCTGGCATAACTGAGAAAGAATTAAATGCCTACTTAGTATAGAAAATCTGCGACTGATTTATCTTCAAATCATGTAGAGACTATGAGACAGATTTTCCTGTTGTGATTTTTGTGAAATGGAAACGTTATCCACAGTATTTATAACCTGTTTATCTTAAGAAGGGAATTTTAAAAAAATTACCATGTGAATAGGCAACTCATTAAATGAAAATTAATAAGAAGTCATTTGTTATATCTCTCACAACACACATTCAGAAGTTATTATTATTTCAGAAGGGCTGGTTCGGAACAATCTTATGAAGACACAGTCAGTAAATTACTGCATAAATCACTCTTTGGGAAAGGAGGTTACCAATTGAGGCATTTAAAATGAATTATTATTTTGCCTGAATTTCTTTTCTCCTCTTGTATAGGTAGAAAGTGAAATTAATTGAATTTATTATTAACATATGCAGCATCTAATTAAATTGCAATGCTGGTCTATTTATATTTCTGCAACATTTCTTATATCTTCTTAGTAGTCACAGGGCACCAATCTTCAACTCACAGAGGTTACAAATATGAATTTTCATAGGGCTCTAGAAAAATCCCCAAGAATTATCTTCAGCTTTTCAAGAAATTATCATCCAGGAGATTTGATTAAGTGGCTACAACTCTTTTCACTGAATGCTTTTAGTTCATTAAGCTGTTGGGGCTGCTAGGACTGCTCAGCTTACCTTAGAGGGACAAGGGGAGCGAAGCAGAATGTTACACAATTGGCAAGGTTAGTGAAAAATAAAAAAAGGAAAAATAAAGATGGGTGAAATGATTTAACCATGAGTCACAGCAATGACAGCGTGAATAGCTGCGCGCAGATGAATTTAAACAAAAGCATGCATGTACAGTTCAGGAGGCCTGGGCATTTACTACAGAGAAATGGAGGTAAACTCAACTTGGGCCGTAGGACATGTTTCAGAACAGTAACAAGATGTTTCTGAACACTTAGCAAACACAGCACTTTGTGTGGTTTGTTTTATTTGGTCTTCATGGAACCACATTCTTTCCTCTTGTAGGTCACTGAATAATTTTTGTGTTTATTTCCTCCTATGCTGGATCCACCTAAGAAAAATTGTTCTAATCAAGTGTCCCTCTGCTTGTGTTCTGTGAGGGCAGCAGAGCTGGCGGGGCTAAACAACATCCTCACACCCCACCCCCCAGAATTGCATCAGTCTTCATAATACCCCAAACATCTCCCCAACCCAGTGAAGAACACTTTACTCACCTGTTTGTTTTGTGATAACAACCATCTCTATGTACCACAGACAATACATACTATGCATTATCTATGTTACATGGATATATACGTGTTAAAATTTCACTCATTTTGGTGAGGCCAGAGAAGTATACTAATAATATGATTTTTTTTCTGCCTAAGCATAGAAGTAACTCTTTTAATTAATCATAAAATGTTGGGAAAACTTGAGGGAAAAAAATGTCCAAGGGACTCCCCAAAGAGCATAATGCTCATTTAAATAAACATTCTTGTTAATGTTAAAACCTCCTCATGCCTTCGGGATATATGGTGCTCTTAAAGCTTCCAGTCCCCTTGCAATATGTGTGGTTCGTTTTTCTTACTCCAAATACCACGATACTGTCATAAGGTTTCATCAGTGTATCCCTGAAGTAGGAGTCCTCTGATATTCTTCCTGATAGAAAAGTATAAACCCTTCTACTATAAAAGAATAGAAGGCCTAACTGCTCTCAGTTTTAGCTTTGACAAAACTGTTTGAGCGCCTCCAGAGAACTCAGGAAGATGATTCTTTTCTCTTTCTCCCAGAGACCAACTTATGTTTAGAACACAACTCACTTTCCAGAACTTTCTCCTTTTTCATTGTTCCTCTAAAAAAGTCACTAAGCAAACATTTGGATTTGCAGAAACTTTCCAGTGTGGAATGGAATGGAAAAGGAAATGTCAAGATACTCATCACTGCCAGGCACAATGGCATAGTGGCCAACAGAAATACAAAGCAGACCATAAGTGCAAAGCACATATGTATTTTAATATATGTTAGTAAGCCCCATTAAAAAGAAAAAGCAAAAAGCAGGGTAAATTAACAATATATTTTCTTTAACAAAGACATTCAGAACACTATCATTTTTAACATGTAATCAATATAAAACTTATTGAGACAGTTCCATTTTTTTGCTTTCTTTAGTGCTTTGAAATTGTGTTTTATGTTTACAGTATGCCTAATGCAGAGTGGCCACATTTCAAGTGTTCATGTTAATGGCTATTGGATTAGACAGTACAGATTTAGAGGGAGATTCACTCTGAGTCAATTAGCCATTGATGGTTTCCATGTTCTAAATGACATTTCAGTGGCTCTGCTGTACACATCTATGTATGTTATTTTTATGTGCAGTGTTTACGTCACTTTTAATACCTAGATACGTGGCACAACATGAGAATGAGGATTGCACCAGAATAGTTCGGCGATGTGGTCATGTTTTTCCCCACTGACCACTCTATCTCTGTTAATTATAACAAGAATCTGCCCTGCTAGCATGCAGAGTTATGCTGGGAAAATTTCTGCCTCATTTACTCTGGAGGATTCTTGTGCAGTTATGGGTCAGTGGTTCATTTTCTAGAGGTCACTAACATTCGTACCTAGCACACAATTTCATTCATTATAATGAGGAAGGTTTCCCTTTCAAGACAACACAACTGGTGGACTTAATTTTCCCTGATATGTCATTTGTAAAATTTTAATGATGATGTTTAAACTCTAGATGTAACCAATAAGACAAAAACTGCTAGTTCAGGGTATGTGGGTGGGTTTCTGTTTTAGTGGTTTGACACATTTCAGAACATCATCAAAATATGATACCAAGAATCATATGGCATCAATCATTCCTAGATATACTGATCTAGTCATTGCCAAGACAGTTCCATGAGCTGGGAAAACATATGGAATTCTTTTTTTCTAATGTGAAAAATAAAATTTAACCAGTCATGTGTCACAGCTTGTAACTTTAGTCATACTTTGTAAAGCATTTTAGTTTGGATCTTATCATAGAAAATTTGTAAAAAGCTTAAAAGAGATTTAGCTTACTTCATATTTTAGAAAAGCAGAGCTTCTTTACCAAATGAGGCGTATGACCTAGATTGCAGAGAAGATGCCGAAACTACTTCTGTGAGCAAGAAGGGGCTTCTTGAACATCTTTTGGAAGAGAGTAATGCAGTGGGACCCAAGGTCTCTCTGCCTATCACTGAGATTGGCATTCTCCATCTCCATGGTCTCTTTCAACTCTGTCTCTTGTCTTCTGCTCATCTCAGGTTCCCTAGAAAACTCAGCTGTCACCATCCTATACAACCTGCATTTCTGCTATTGCCTGGCCCATGGCAGAGCAGCAAAGGTCTTTGATGCAACTACCATGCCTAAAAGTAGGGCCTGTGTGAAAGCAGGCATGGTGGGAGAGAAGGCTGCAGGGAGCCTGTGGGATTGATCTTGGAAGTCTACCTGATAGTAGAAAACAGCAGGAAGCCACTTTTAGCTAATCAGCATAGGCCTTCTACCTTTTCACTTAGGGACACTACTGTGAGTCTCTTCATCTGTTTAAAAAAAAGTCTAGCATACAGAGACTTTATTCCTCCTTACAACAAATGTAATTAATAGAATGAAGGATAGTAACATGTGAGAAGCAATAACCTTCAGTTTGGCTCAGCCAGGTATTATTTTGTACACTCTAGATTTTCATGTCCTCTCCATTACCTCAAAATACCTGGAAGTGTTTGAGAATGTGTATTTCTTCTCTGCAAGAATATTCTAATCCTCAAGAAGACAAGGGATGAGTATTACTGGTCCTGGTACTCCCTCAAACTGGGGCCTAAAACAGTCAGGGCACAAAGAGGTTCTAACAAGTGTTTAGTAAGATGACACTGATGAGATGAAGCAACCTGGATTGCAGGTGAACTGGCCACTTATTAGGGATCGGACCTTGAGCAAATCTCATCACTTGAATGATTTTTAAGTCTTGCATCCATAAAAGTGAACTGAAAGTAGGTGATTTCTTAACATCTCTTTCAGTTCAAATGCTCTGTGATCTATAAAATATGTGGCTGGCTATTCTTGACAAGGTCCTCCTAGCTTTAAAATTATATGATCCTTTTAGTCTCTGTCACTCAAAGTCTCCCTCCACTGACAGATTTTAGCCACCATTATTAGACGCAGTGAGTTATGAGTGCTTTTACTCTGGTCCTCAAAGCTCACGATTCTTAATGTATTCTGAAACATCTGCTATTTATCAGGACCCAGACAAATTTCATTATCAAAGAGAATATTATTTTCTTCCCTGTCACAGTCTTTTACTTTTTGTAT